CCGCGGGCGGGGAAGTGTGCGCGGATGCACGCGGCGGGGCCGCGTGTGCAAGCGGGGCCGAGGCGAGCGCGGCACCCCCGTGTGTGCGCGCGCACGTGTGCGTGCCTTTGGACACGCACCCGTCTGCACGCGGGCCGCGCGAGACGGTGCGCCACACGTATCCCCGCGGCGGTGTGTAGTGCCTATGTGCACGCACGTCTGTGCGCACACGCATATGCACGCGGGACGGTGGTGCAAGCCGTACGTATCAGACACATCGCGCAGACGTTCAAACGCACACTCGCAACGATATTGTGCGTATGTTTGCACGCGCATCCAGACGCACAAGCACCACGCTGCCGTGTGTATTTATACCTGTGTACAAACACACTCGCAACCGTTTTGTGTGCGTGTATTTAGACACACACACGCAAATCAAGGTGTTGTCTATATATTTATGCGGACGTACAAAATACACACACACCGGTACTGTGCGTGTATTTACACATCCGTGTATATGCGCGCACGCCACGGTGCTGTGTGTATTTACAGACGGGTATTTATACGCGTGTATCAACACACTCACAACGGTATTGTGTGCATTTCCACAGACGTATCAACACACACTCACAACGGTATTGTCTGTGTATTGATACACACCTTCATATGCACACGCACCGCGGTATCCCGTGTATTTATACGTGTGCACACACGCCCAACGATGTTGCGCGTATTTATACGTATGTGCAAGCGCGCACACAACGATATTGCGCGTACACATTTTGACATACATATGCGCGCGCACACCCTGGGACGGTGGGGACTTCCACATGTACAAACACACTCGCCGCGATCTCGTGTGCGCGTTGCTACATACGCACATAGCCATGCACACCCACCGCGGTATGGTGTGCCCGCGCACCCCGCGGCGTGCGGCGGATATGTACACACGGACACGTGGGTGAAGCGCTCGGAGTCCGGGGCAGGCACACGCGAATCGTTCCCCGCCTCCTTGCACACCCCGCCGGCCCTTCAGCTCTTGCCTTGGCCTGGGACAGAGACCCCCGCGCCGCCCCGCGCCCCCCTCTTGTCCGGCTCATCCGACTTCTGCCTCCTAGAGACGTGGCCGTGACACGCGCACACACGCACGCACACTTTATCCCGGGTGCATGGCGCAGCGCTCCGCTTCCTGAAGCAGAAATGTTTGCAGCCGGTGCACACACCGGGCTCCACCGGGCACGCACACACGCATTTCCACCGGCCAGGGCCAAAGTGCGCGTGTAACGAAACGTGCGCAGCGAGGCGTTTAGGCACCTAAGAAAGCATCAGAAATGTTTGCAGCCGGGGCGGACCTGCTTCTCCCCGGGCACGCACACTGACACGCACGCACCGCGGGGTGTCGCGAAGCGTGTGCAAGGAAGCGCCCGGAAGAACTCCTCCGACACGGGGCGCACACGCGTGCACACGCACCGCCGCAGGGACACGCGCCCCGGGGCCGAGTTAAGGGGAGCGCGGCCTCACCTTGGAAGCGGTGCCCGAAGAAGCGGTTCCGCAGCACCCAGGGGTAGAAGGCGAGCGGGTCGCGGGGCGGCGAGCCCAGGAAGGCGGGCGGCGGCGGCGGCACGAGCGGGTGCGGGTGCGGGTGCGGGT